CCCCCTTCTCTCTGAAAAGCAATGAAAAAATATTCTCGGGTGAGGATTTAAAAAAAAAAAAAAAAAGACAACAGAACAAAAATGTCTACTGCACTGCACAGATAATTGTAATTGTAATTGAGGTAGATGGTCTGTCATAGTTGAGTATTTTTTTTCCAGGTCTTGTTTTTTCAGCTCTCCATATCTTAATTTGGAAGGAAAACTACCAGGTGTCATTGTGTTTCCCCCATTATGTCTCTAGTCTCTGAAGGCTTGGTCAAATCAGAGAAAAGGGTGTGTTGTGTGGGCTTTTGAGTTCCTATTACTTGTGAGTGAGACACACTAATTATAATAATGCTTATACCTCTTGGAGGTAGTGGTATCTACTGAGGAGTTTACATTTTAGGATGCATCCCTGCCCACTGGGGACAAAAGCTCTTCTGCCCTCTATAGAGGGACAGAGTGATGTGAGTAGTATAATACGGCGTCCCTTTTATACAGAAAGCTCATTTAACTACCCACCCTTCATGTGATCTTGGCAGTGTGCTTTTCTGCAGCAAGCCTGTTACTCTAGTTGGCATCTTGGTGAGAAGAATAACTGGCAGTTAGCAAGTAGCCTGTAGCAATCTGTCTTATACTTCTCACCTTCCCCTGCTTTTAAAAAAGAACATAAAATTACTATAGAAAGCTGGTATTCTAAGGAGGTAGCATTTGAGCATTGTAATTTCTTCTTTCTTTAAAGGGATGGGACAACAGCCAGATCCAGCCTTTGGTCGAGTGTCCAGTCCTCCCAATGCAATGATGTCATCAAGAATGGGTCCCTCCCAGAATCCTATGATGCAGCACCCTCAGACTGCACCTATGTATCAGTCCTCGGAAATGAAGGGCTGGCCATCAGGAAACTTGGCCAGGAACAGGTGAAGAACAAGGACTTCAAAAGTCATTGGTGTTCTAGTGCCAAAAGTTCAGGAGAGCTCTGTATTTTTGAGTTAAGCCTGTTTGGGTGGAGAGATCAAAAGGCCTGGGTTCACATTAGAAAATGTTGTTTGGCTCATCCATTTTGTGAATCCTTCCTCTCATGCATTTATCCATGAGACCATTGAATACAGACAGCTGAGAAAAGTAGAGGGCAGGCTGTCAGGGAGTTTTCTCTCTAATGTTGTTCTCCGCTTAAGTACAGTGACATTTCGCAAAACTGTGATAGTCTCTGTGTGCATGTCCTGTGCTACTAAAATGACCCAGGGGCTAATTTCATACTTCCTTTGCAGCTCCTTTCCCCAGCAGCAGTTTGCCCACCAGGGGAATCCTGTTGCAGCATATAGTATGGTGCACATGAATGGCAGCAGCGGTCCCATGGGACAGATGAACATGAACTCCATGCCCATGTCTGGCATGCCCATGGGCCCTGATCAGGTATGGGGATCTATTCTTTCTCAAAATGTTTTTCTTGTTTTCTGGAAGGAACCAAAGCCTCAACTGTAATCTAAATTCCTAGGTAGATTTTTAATTTGGATGTAAAACTTAAAATACAGTCATTGAAAAAATTTTTGGTTTGAAGGCATTGGACCATTAGATACTTTTGGTAATTTGAGATCTAAGGAATCTGGCTCAGTCAGCCAGAGCCATGTTGCAAGCCATCATAGACACATGGATTCTTTTCTCTTGTGCAGTGTTTCACTCATGTTTCTTCTGGTTGCTAACAGAAATACTGCTGACATCTCTACACCAGGACCTCCAAAGAAATCACTGTACAAATGGCACCGCACTAGGATTATCGGGAGTAAGGAATCATTGTTCTAGGCAGCCAGCTTTGAAGAAAGGACCAGCTTTCATCTCCACAAGGGTATTCCAAGTGATGTCATTTGAGTAGGACTGGATTTTAAGCTGAAGTGTGATAGCTACCTTTTCTTTTTCCCCCCTCCTATGTATCATGGTGTTCAAAACAAATAGTTTTGGCGTTCTGCTTCTTAGAGATATGGTTCTGGAGGGACCGGAGTGTTACTGATTGCAAAACTCTCCCGTGTCCCTTCTGTCTGCCTGGCTATTCAGCCTTTCAAGTATATATAAGTGGTCCAGAGAACATTGGAGAAACCACGAGCGATGAGAGCATCTGGTTTCTCTAGTTGCAGCAGCATTGGAGGAAGAGCGTAGTCCCAGCCCTCATTTGTTTCTGTCACCACCAGGCAGTTCTGCCCCATAGGGTTGGCATTTGAGTCTTCCTCGAATGATAGTGTTGAGTTGCTCCAGCCCTATTCTCAGTTGTCCTAGGCTTTAGCTGGATTTTCACTTGTTCCTAATGTTTTGTCACACTTCACCTCCAGGAATTCTCCTTGATATCAAATGGCCTTGTAGAGGGGGAAATGAGATGACAGTATTTAATGCAGCAGTAGCAATTTCTCACATGCTAACGTGCCGCCGAGTGCACTTTATTTAAAAAGTAGTGGATAAATGCAATATTCTTGAGGTCTTGAGGAATGGTGAACCACATTCCTGGTTTTTGTCTAAGCTGTTGGATAAGAACTATGATTTTGTTGAAAGTACTGGTGTCACCCTTTGCCTATATGGTAGAGCAATAATGCTTTTTGAAAATAAACTGCAGAAAACCCAAGGCCAGGTACTGCATTCTGAATCAGAATCTCGCAGTTTGTGAATAGATTTGCTTTTGTAAATATAACCTTTAAGATATTATATTATGTAAAATATGTATATACCTTTTTTGTAGGTCACAACAACTCATTTTTACGGAGTTTGTGAAGCTAAATATTTAACATAGTTGATTTCAGTAAGCTCAGTGTGGTGAGGTTACAAACAGAAGAGACATCCCCTGAATTTTGTGGCCTGGGGGAGAGGACAGCAATCCAAAGCTTTTCCTTCCCTCTAGCCTTAGATGCCTCACTCTTTTCAGTCCCTTAATCTAAAAGCTTTTTAAAGAGATCATTTGTTTAGATGTAGGCATTTAAATTTTTTTAAAAAATTCTTCTACCAAAACTAAGCACTTTGTTAATTTTGGGGGAAAGAATAGACATGGGGAAATAAGCTTTTAAAAAAAGGTATCAAGAATTAAAAAATATCAAGCAATTTGATTTTAAAAAGAATCTTGCATTTTAAGCTGCCCATAAATAAAACAAAAGCAATTCATGTTTTGTTTTTTGTTTTTAAATTGAATATGGCATCTTTTTGTCCACTTTGAGGATTGTGCTAAGGTTTTGGTTACCAGGACCTAAATCCCAATTGAGCTCTCAGGAGTAGAATCCTTGATGTGTGGTTTCTAATGTCTGCTCAGCTGTCTTGCCATTTACTAACATGATGTTTTCACCATCCCTGAGAATAAGAGATGTCCTGGTTATTTCGTAAAGACTCAGCCCCAAGAAGTCACTTTTGTGTGATTCAGAGCTGTAGTCTGAGCGCCTTTGCACTCCCTCCCTCTGCTACCTACCCCTGCCCTTGTCAGCTGTTGCCACTCCCTGACACTTATTCTGGTCGGTTGGGAATAGGGAAAAAAAAAAAAAAAAAAAAATCAAATTTAATTCCTTGTATCTAGTTTACTTTTATTAAGTTCAAACAATTGAATGAAATTGGGTTTTTGGAATATCTATGAATCTCAAATGTCTCTGCTAGCCTTGGTGTCATTTCCTAGCAATAACTGAGAGCCAGTTAATTTTTATTTCACACACGTTTAGCTAATCTTTCTAGGTGCCTCTGAAGGTAAGATCATTTCATTTCTTTGACTTGCTTATGAATAAGTGAAACCTGTATTTCTAGAACCACCATTAGAGTGGATTTGAGTCCAACACCTCATCCCATCTAAGATTGTAAATCCATCAACTTCCATCATAGTGGCCTGTACTTTTCAGATAACATATCGTCCTGTCTGGAGATGGAGACATAAGAAAGAGTCTCTGTCTTTTTAGACACAGTTGTGTTAGGTGTGTCTGAACCTTGTTTCAGTCGTGTGTGCATGGGGAGAAATAGAATGGTGCTCTTACCTTTTTCACTTTTAAAAATTAAGAACAAAACAAAAAGTTTTGTGATTCTTTTCCTTAGTCCTGGCTCCAGGCTAACTGGAAGGCAGCACCCCTTTTTTATATTTAAAAAAATGAAGTTTATTATAAGTTTTTATATTTTCTACTTGTTCATTTTATTGGTGCAAACTTAAGATTTTGATTTTCTTTTAATAGCTGCAGTCTTTGAGATAATTTGTTGTTTTTAACTTTTATTGCTCTTTTATCTTTTTTGGATAATTCTTTGTACTCCTGCTGCCTACCTCTCCTCGCCCTCCTCCCTCCTCTTTTTTAAACCTTGGTATCTGTTGGGTGAACAGTATAAGTAATCTTTTCATCTGCTTTTAGAATGTGAGATATTTCCAGTATACCTACTTTCTTGCTGAATCCAAAGATAAATATATATATTTTTAAAAGATCAAAATGATATGAAGGAGATACATGTTTCTTCCTTTAGAAAAGCAAATAGAAATTGTTAATGTTCATGTTATGATGCCACTTTTCTAAATTGTGCATCTTGATGGAAAGGTGTAAATATCAATCAACAGGACTGCTTAATCCTATTTACTCTCTGAGGTGAGTTGGGGGTATAGGGTGAGGTGCTGTAGAACACCATTGGCTTGCTGTCCTAGAAATTCTTTGGTCCAGAGATAGATACAGCTGGAAAGTAAGAGAATGCATTGCCAGTTACCCATATGCCTGTCCAGTTCCCTTTTTATTTGTAGAAGCCATGAGTTTGTTCACAAGTGGGAAATGCATAGGAGCAAAACCTCTAGGATAGATGAGATTTCCTCCTGCCACAGCAGAGTGGGAGCTGCTTTTCAGCCCCAAGGCAAACTGTTTAATATGAGTAGGGTGTTCTTTTTCCCCCTTCTTTCTCTTTCCAATGTGTGGAATTTTGAAGAAGATGGAAATGTCATTCTGAGAGCAATATTTAAATTCTCAGGAATTGACTTATAGTATTGAGAATGAATTCAGTTTCAATCAAGTTTACATTAAATGTTGCTTTTAAAAAAATCTAAATCATTCTTTACACTGCGAAGAATCCAGACCACATGGGATAACTTATGAGATGGTTGTGTGGTAAGCTATGACTGTTTTGCTGATCATTTTGGGTGTCACTGTAAATAAAGGTTTCTATTTAAAATTAAAGCCCAAGAGCTTGCTTTATTTAAAAAAAAATCCTTACTGGATTAAGGGTAAAAACAGAAGGTTAAGGACTCTTATTTCAAATAATTGTAGCGGTTTCTGTGAGGTTAAATCTTTTTCCCCCCCTAAATGCCTTTTATTGTTTGTAGCAATGGAACAACAAAATTGGAGATTATATTCTGCAAATACGTTCCAAAAAGAAATCTTGTTCTTAGAAAAGGTGAGTGCTTAGGGATCATCTATTAAATGAGAAATGGGTTGGACTAGTTGATGGCTGAGATTCTTCTATTTCTCCCATTCCAGCAGCTATCTTTACCAGATTAGACTACCTGAGACACAAAGAAGGGTTAGTGAATTGCTTTGTCTTTAATACATTTTAAAAGTGAGGTCCTAAAGCTGGTGTAATGTGAGACTTACCTGTGAGGTCCCTGAAATATGGTAAATTTTAGTCATTCATTTATAACCATCTACCCCCTTTTAAAAAACACCCATCTAAGTCCAAAGTGTCTCCTTTGAAAAAGGTGTTAACTGGTAGTGTTTTGAATGATTTTTTAAAAAAAACCAAACACACCAAAAGCTCCCAAGAATGGCCTTTTACAAAATGTCAAAGGTTACCTCATACCAACTGCTGGTGGTCATTGGCTGGGGTTTTGAACATTGTATGACAATACTTAGACTACAAAATCTCTTTACAAATACAATTTCATTAAAACGTGGGATGTACACTAACTTTATGTCTTTTCGGTACTTAGAAAACATTAGTTCTGGGACAGATAACACAGGAATACTGGCAGCAATGGTACCTGGTCAGGAACATAAATGTCCACACCTGCAAGGGCTTTTCTCTTACACTGGCCACAGCGTTTATTGACACCACCACTCTTCAAAACTGGGTTTCTTATTAGTCAGGTCCCTCTAAAAGTTCCCACGCTGGTTACATGTAAATAGTCACATATTTACAGTGAAGTCAGTTTCTTCAGAGGCAGCCAGGGTTCTAGTGCCAGGTGAGTGCTACTTCTCTGTGCTGTTGACTCGCTGTCCAACTGGGCACCACTTCCAGCACCTGCATGCTGCCTCCGTCCACCTCTTAGCTCATTCTTCATGACAGACCAAAAGGTAAGAGGATTTAAAACAGGGTTGGGGTGGTTCTTCCCCTATGATTTAAAAAATTCCAGTGACTTTCCACCCTTTGGGGAAATTAAAAAAATCTCTTCTTTTTCCCTTGTGAGCCTCTCGGAGAGGGTTAGTGGTGACTTTTTGATATGAAAATGCATTTTGTGCAGCTGGTGAGGTACAATCCAAAGCAAAAGCAGGGGCAAAAATGGGTTTTCTGAAGTATCACTATTCCTGGTAGTTCTCTTCCAGAATTTGCCGTGTTGACTGAAAGCAAGTTCTGTGTGTCTCAGGTCTCCTGGCTAACAGCATAGGTCTGCCTGAAATCATACAGGGTTTTGCATTGTCTGGATGGTCAGATGATGCCTCTGTTTTGGGAGGTCCATCTTGTGCTGCTTAACCTTCCCAGCCTTCCCACAGTTGTCCCCTGTAGAACAAAGCAGACTCACCTCAGTATTTGATTGAGCAATCCATAGCAGCACGACAGTCAGTCCTACAGCTGCATAAGCTTTGCTTCAAGGATGTGGCTGCTGAGAAGGAATATTTCTAGGTCCTTCAGACTGGGCTTGCTACCACCTCATCATCTCGATTTTCAGTTGTTGGCAAAGGTGGCATTTAAAGATAGGCGGAGAATAGTGGCCAAGGAGAATACGAGATGGAAAGATTACGTGCGTAACTTCTGGGAGCACCAAAGGACATGCTTAGTTGGCCCATTAATATGGTCTTATTAAAGCTGCATAGGTTTCTATGCACATAAAGAAATGATTAGGCCAGAGGTTGCAAATAGCAGCTCACCAAGGAGTTTTGTCTGCATGGTAACTTAATGTCAAAGTAGTTGCCAGTGTTAAAAAACTGTCACACATATTTGAGTTCTGGGGTTTCCCTGACGAATTAGAGGATTCAAACTGTACTGCATTCATGCCATTCTCTTTAGATGAGAGGTGACCTTTCTAGGTTGCCACAGTCTCTTAGCCCTCCGCCAGCCTCTACTGGCACTGGAGTGTGTAGCATGGACATTTTGGAAACCATTAAATGAAGCTGCCCCGCTGATGTTATGGACCAGGTAACACTTCTGCAGCCACAGCCTTCAAGGTGTCTGGCAGTTATAATACTTAAGTGCTTTTCATCCTCTAAGGAATGCCTTGAATTTACGAGGCATAGACTATTGTGTAGAGAGCAACAGTGTGTATATATCACACCCACAAGGTCTTAACCTAAAACATGTACTCAAGTATGTTACTTCATAGGAAAGACATCATTGCTTCCCCTCTCATGACAGGAACAAATGAGAGTCAAAGGTAAGACTTAGCATGCATACAGAACAGCCTAGGCAAAATGAAGCAAGCCAGAGAGGGCTTCTATTTGTAAACTGGTTCCTCAACTCACAGTGATTTGGAAGAAGGTCTCTTCATTTCTGGCCACTTTCGACGCTGAAACTGCCTAAGTTTTCAAGTGTCAAAAGGAGAATGAGTGTTAACCATCACCAAGAAAGAAAAAGTTACCCCCAAAGAACAATACACAGATGGTCTCTTAGGTGACACCTATCACTGGTGGGCAATCCAGGCCCCTGGCAGACCAGAGAAAGGGCAGTGTCTCAACCTAACACGTGCAACCTCACAGAGGTTAGACTAAAAGATGGGCCTAGATATGAGACCGTTCTCGGGCTTTAAAAACAAAATCAAATACCTGTATTGCTCATAGCTTCCTCCATCTTTAAGTCCTAAATGAGAGAAATGAACAAAATAGAAACAGCTAATTTAGGGTAAATATGGAACAAACAGTGACAAACTTTAACTGCCTTTTTTTCTTTTTTAAAACACTGTAGGCATTTTGTCACAAAACCATGATGTTGACAGTGTTCTCTAGGCAGACATAGTGGACTGAATTAGGTAAGCTGTTCTTAAAGCAGCCTTCTGGATTTGCCTGCACTCTAGTGTCACCCTAGCAGTTTTAGGACCTGCTGCATTCATTCAACACTGACCTTGGTCATGGTGGGCGAGGCAGATACAGGCACAGGCATCTATGCTACAGAAGACAGAAAGCCAACGGCCCTGAGAAAGGCAGGTGCTGGGGAGGTCCTGTGTCTTGCTCGTATCAAGTTTCCCAGAGGATATGGCAGTGCGACCAAATGCGTAGGCTTTAGAGTCAGCCAACCCAATCTCTCTACTCATCCATAAAGTGAGGTCAAGCAGGTGTACCTCAGAGGACCGTCATAGGATTATCAGCACAGTGGCCGGCACATAGTAATTAAGGATGGCTCTTATGATCATAACAGGAGCGCTTGGTAGATGTTAGGAAAGTGATATTTTAGTCACTGGTGAGAATTCATCAACTCCTGGTGATTCTGGGCTCATTTTTCAGACCAGACATGACCCCGTAAATTCCTTCCTGCGGTAACCCTGCCGGGTTACAGGCCCACGCTGGGGCACCTACTCACCCAGGTCCATGTTGCGCGTCCGGGGGTTACACTGCTTGTAACCCTTACAACTCCTTAGCTCCATGAGCTGTACATGTAGCTGGTTGAGGACATCCCTGTCCAGTGTATTCACCGCATTCATCAGCTGGTTGGAAGAAAGGTGGGTTAGGAACAAGGTGAATACAGGAACCACCCCATCCTCTGCTCCCAGCCAGGGGACTGACTGCAGGCAGATTGGGAATAGCAGGTGCTATGGGATGGTAACTTTTGCTTTTGTAGGAGCCAGAGTTTGGAACGGTTAGGATTGCTTTTTGCCTCTAGCCCCACCAGGCTCTCTCTCCGTGAGAATAAAAACTCACGAGGATAAAACCACCTCTGTGCTTAACGCTGAGCTCCTGGAGCCACTGGCCAGGAAACTGTGTCTTCAAGCAGCCTTCCATCCCAGTCCCTCCGCCCCTCTTGATTGGAAAGCAGCCACTTGGTGAAAGGGGTGGGGAGTGACCATTGACTGAGTAAGCTATGTGCTCGGCCAAGTCCTTTTGTAAAATACAGGGATGACCTACCTAAGGAGAAAGACTGGCAGAGCATAGAATGGCTGGCACTTAAAAGTCAGATTTCATGTAAGAAATTGACTTCAGCCTTCTTTTGAAACACTGGAGACCAGATGGTGCCAAGGCCACACTACTGAGAAGCTGTAGTGCTGAGCTCAGTGACCGTCTGTTGAGATGGGACATGCTGATTCCACTCAGCAGACTCTGTGGCTCCTTTTTGTCTTATGTGTTCTGGGCCACTTTAGACATCATGTGTGTGTTCAGATGACGTGATATATGGAAGCACTTAGGGAAGCACCTGGCGTGGAGGACAGTGCTGCATGAGTGTCAGCTATTGCCCCGTAGGCACCCGAGCACACAGGGTTTGGCCTGGTCCTAAGGACCTCTGCAGGCCAGGAGCCTTCACAAGTTCCCACACAGCCTGTGTTAACCTTGCCAGGGGAGAGGCTGTGTAAGGTCTGTATTGCAGACACAGGAAGATGGAGTCCCAGAGCTCTCCGAGGTTTCACAACTTACTTCTGTCTTAGGCACTTGGTGGTACTTTAGAAAATGTATCGCTTCCTCATGGGGGCCTAGTGCCAGCACCCCTGTACCCTGCACATCCCCATTTCTCCAGGGCGGGTTGTCTGTACCTGGTAGGGGTCTGTGTTGAGATCAAAGTACTCGAGGAAGCCGGTTGCAAATTCACAGAAGAGGAAATTGTGGGTCTCGTTGATTGTCCTCATGCACCAGTATGTGTTGTTGTTGGCGCTGGTGCAGGCACAGAAGGGCCCCACTGCCAAGACAAGAGAGAGCATGCCCTGAGTGCGCCTGTAGACGAAACCCAGCCGGCCAGCAGGAATTCCTGTCTGGGACAATCCCCCAAGCCAGTTCCTGTTGGGAGCACTTGTTGACCCCTGAAGTCGTCAGGGAACCTGTTCCCCAAAGACCTGTAGGGTTTGGCAAGAAGGCACTCACAGGCTGGTGGCAAGGTGAGGCCCCGGAGAAGCCCCTCTTGCCCAAGCTGCCCCCTGCCTGCCCCGGGCTCGCTCACATGTCCAGAGAGGCGCGGTCTGCCAGTGCTGGTTGTCGTGAGTGAAGCACGTGAGGCCCGGCATGCTGCACGTGTCGTTGTTCTGTAGTCGCTTGAGCAGCTTCCGAAGTTTCTTCTTGCGCTTCTGCTCCCGCAAGAGCCACACCTTGTCCTTCTCCTGCAGCCCCTTCCTGTGGGCAAATAGGGCCACACCTCTCACACCCCTCTTGGCCCCACCACCTTAAAGCCTCCTAGGGATCAATGATCCTGAACTCTGCTCTTCCTGCCAGAGAGCTGTGGGCACAGCACTAGGGAGACCACCAAGGGAAGAACCTTTGCCCAAGTCCCACTGCAGGTCCAATGCGGCACAGATGTGGAGAGAATTAGGAGGCTGCTGGGACTCCGGCTCTCACTAGGTTTGTTAGGCCTGTGTCCTGCCCTGCATGGTGGGGTTGCAGTAACCCCTTCAGTCATGGGGGCACCTGGAGACCTCAATGTTGAGCTGAGAGTCTCCCTCTGCAAGGACTGCCTTGAACTTCCCAGGGAAAGCCAGGACTACTTTTCCTTGTTTGCCTTAGCTTAAGGAAGGGCAGCCTGTGTGTGTCTCCCCTGGGCCTTAAGCCACCCTTACCTGAAAGGATGCAGACTGGAGCCTTTGTGCTTGAGGCGGCCTTTGTGCTGGGTGTGGTAACTGGAACAGACCCCAAACCCCAGGTTTCAGAAACTGTTTACAGAGCAGCTCTCCTGGGTGGGTACAAAGTGCGGTTCCCTGGGACCCCGTCCCTCTTTCTCATGCACTGCCAGGGAGGGTGCTATCTCCAGGGCAGCAGCTCCCTGCCTCCTTCCTGCAAGTGTGAGCTGGGAGCCCCTAGCTGAAGGCTCGGGCCACAATGAGAAGATTGGGGTAGGTGTAAGTCAACCAAGGCTGGAAGCTGGGTCTGGCTTTGGGTGGCTTCAGCCTCAGCATCACCCAGTGGTTGTCCCCAGACCCCTGCCCACCTCATGCTTGGTCAGGGCCAGCCCTGGGGAAGGGGGGCATGTTTTGCAATCCCTTTCTGGGAAGGTAGCAGAGATGCTACAGTTGGGCTGTCTGGTACAGTAGCCACATGTAGCTATTTCAGTTTAAATAAAACTTTAAATTCAGTTCTTCAGTTACACTGCCACATTTTAAGTGCTTACACGTAGTTGGTGGTCACCATACTGGACAGCAGATGTAGCCCATTTCCATCATTACAGAAGTTTTCTTGGACAGTGCTACAGTGCTGCTCTCGAGTTCAGACCCTTGAGCCAGGGGTTCCCTGGGCTGGTAATGTGACCTCCAGCCACATGGGCTATTCCTGAAAGGGCAATCAGCAGAGGCCCTTTCCCTCCTGGGAGCCAGCTCCCCGTATCAACAGCCTACCTGCCAGCAGTGCATGAAGCTGGCAGCTGGCTGGCTACGTGCGGGTTGTGGTGTGGTATGCGCCCAGTGGCTGACAATGGGGATGTGAATCATGTGGCACTTTTTTTTTCACCCCGAGGGAGCAGACAGGATATAAAAGTAATGACAGGAGTCACAGAATGCTGTGTTCCCCGGAGTGGTCCTGCAGGACCACTAGTGGCCCTCCTGGGGTCCGTTTGCTACCTCCTCACCTGATTTTGTGACAATCACATTCTTCTGGCCGCTTTTTCTTCAGGTGACCTCGGACTTCCCTCAGGTTCTTAATTTTGTTCTGCAGGGTTTCAATCTGAGGGAGAGAGGAGGCTGTGAAACTCTGGGGGCTGGGGGAGAAGGGATGGCCTGGTGGTGCCCTTGGCCATTGCCCACATTTGTGGGTACAGAGGGGGTTTCTTGGCTCCACCTGAAGTAACAGTCATTTTCCTATTTCCCTCAGTCCTGGGGCTTATTGAAAGGACTAAATGGGGTGTGACTGTCTTGTAAATCAGGAAAGGGGTGTGATGTCCCCTTTCAGCAACTGGCGGTGGGGAAGCTTTCTAATGCTAGGTCTGATGCTCCTGTCCCTGAGTTGAGGGTTCTGTGGGGGGGTCTTTCTCCCCTGAGCCTGGCTTCCCCCTCACCCCCCCATTGTGGCTGGTGGCCCTGCCAAGCTTGAGGTGGTGAGAAACTGCTCCTTGCCCAGACTCTCATCACCTCATGGTCGATGTGCAGCTTGTGGTCTTTCCAGGCCTGCAGGGACTTGTACAGATCCAGGTCACACTGGACCGTGTCATTCTCTAGGATGTAGCACCTGCTCGAGAGAAGGGATCACATGTGGGCCTGAGAGGTTTGGGAGCCCCTGCCAAGGCCCAGCCTATACCTTTTACCCTCAACCTCTGCCTGAACTCTCACCGATGTGTGACTTTAATGGGGTTGGGGGCTGAAGAATCCGGAAGGCCTCCAGTGCCACTGAAGTCCCCACCGTCCTTGTCGTCTTGGTCCTCAGGGGCCCCTGGCCAGTGCCGCTTGGTAAGGTTGCGGGGCTGGGATGCCTCATCCAGACTTATGTGGTGCACCTGGCCGTCCACCTCGATGGCCACAGAGCGGATGGAGCGATTACGGGCATAGCTGGCCTTGTACTCTGTGGGCATCAGAGAGGTGGCTAGGTCAGGAGGGCATGGAAAACTGGCTGGGCTCCCTGGGCAGCAGACTCTTGACTTAGATAGGTCCACACTCCCAAATCAAAAGAGGCTCAGTGTTGCCTGAGACTTGTGAGCTCAAACCTACCACCCAAGGAAGCAGGACCTGGACCCCAGTGGAAAGGACTCAGGTTGATTTAACTGGGGAAACTGAAGTCCTAGAACTAAGAAGGAATTGGCTTAAGATAATCTCAAGAAAGAGCCATGACTGGAGAAACAAACTGGTACATCCATACAATATAATATCAGGCCATAAAGGAATGAAGCAATAATATAAGCTACAATGCAGATGGACTGTCCAAAACACTATGCTATGTGAAACAACCCAGACACAAAAGGTCACATACTTTATAAGTCTATATGAAATATGCAGAATAGGTAAAGACAGAAACAGAAAGCAAATTAGTGGCTGCCATGGGATGGCGGAGAGGCTAATGGGGTTTCCTGTTGGGGCAATGGAAATATTTTAAAACTAGAGGTGGTGGTTGCACTACATTGTGAATGTATTAAATGCTTTGTGAATTTCACCTCAATTAAAAAGAAAAAAGTGGATATAAAAACATTAAGGAGACTGAATCAGTAATCAGAAACCTCCCAATAACCAAACGTCCAGGATGAGACAGCTTCACTGGTGAATTCCACCAAACATTCAAAAGAAGTACGAACAATCAAACGTGTCCAAAAAGTAGAAGAGGAGAGGAGGGAATACTACAGACTCACTTTACAAAGGCCAGCGTTACTCTGATGCCCAAACCAAAGGTCACCACAAGAACAAGTTATAGGCCTATATTCCTTGATGAAAACAGAATGCAAGAATCCTCAGCAAAATATTAGCAGATGTTTTCAACAATACATTAAAAGAATCACATGCCATCATCAAGTGGGATTTATTCCAGGGATGCAAGGATGGTTTAATACCAGCAAATCAATGGGATACACTACATTAATAAAACGAAGCCTAAAAATCATATGATCTCAGTAGGTGCAGAAAAAGCATTTGACAAAATCCAACATCCATTTATGATAAAAGCTATCTGATAAGGGGTTAATATAAAAAAATGTATAAACTCAATAGCAAAAACAATCTGGCTAAAAAATGGGCAGAAGACCTAAATAGACATTTTTCCAAAGAAGACCTACAGATGGCTAAACAGAAACATGAAAATGTGCTCAGCATCACTGACCAGGGAAATGCAAATCTAAACCACAATGAGACATCACCTCATACCTGTTAGAATGGCTAGTATCAAATAAGTATTGGCAAGGATGTGGAGGAAAGGGAGCCCTCGTGCATGATTGGTGGGAATGTAAATTGGTGCAGCCAGTGTGGAAAACAGTATGGAGGCTCCTTCTCAAAAAATTAAATAGAACTACCATATGGTCCAGCAATTCCACATCTTAATATTTATCCAAAGAAAATGAGAACATTAACTTGCGAAGGTATATGCACCCCCACGTTCACTGCAGCATCATAGCCAAGATATGTAAAAGCAACCTAGGTGTCTATCAATAGATAAATGGATAAGATGTGTGTATATATATATATGAATATTATTCAGCCATAAAAAGGAAATTTTGCCATTTACAACATGATGTACCTTGAGGGCATTATACTAAGTGAAGTCAGACAGAAAGATATACCACATATGATCTCACTTATAGGTGGAATCTAAAAAAGAACAAAAACACCACAAAACCAAAAAAACCTGAGCTCATACAGAGATGGCTGCCAGAGGTTTTGGGGTGTGTGTGTGTGGGGGGGGATGGGTAAAATGGGTGAAGGGCATCAAACGGTATAAACTTCCAGTTATAAAATCTTGGGGGTGTACTGTATGGTGGCCAAAGTTAATACTTACTGCCTATTTGTGTCTGGTAACAGATGTTAACTGGACTTATTGTGATCATTTTGCAATAAATACAAATAAGTCATTTTCTTGTACACTTGAATATTATCTGTCAGTTACAGTGCAGTGAAACACAAAAAAACCATTAATTGTTACAAAAAAAAAAAGCTGGGCAGCACATTCTTCTGGATAGAAAAGGGAGAGACTTGGGAAGGTCACTTAGCTTCTCTGCGTCTCAGTTTCCACAGCTGTAGCTGGATGCTGCTCTACACCGGGTGGGCAGGGAGACGGGCTAAGTCAGCTATTGAAAACAGGGCATTCAGGCTAAAGTCAGAGCTCAGATTTGTGTCTCCTATATATTAAAAGACAAATTTTATCAAATTGCTAACATTAAGAAAAGCTGGGGTGGTCACATAGTGCAGATTTCCAGCTTCTGAAGAGAAAGAGATGTGCCTGCCTACCTGGGTCCACGGGCCCGCACAGTCAGCCCCAGCAGCAGCCGCGACACGGGGTCAGTTCTCCATTGGGCACCAGCCCCAACCACTCCTTTCTGTTTTAAAACTCTGCGCACATCATGAGTCTGTAACCCCTGCTGCCCTAGATGTCCATTGTTTTTTAGAGAAGGGCCTGGAGCCAGTCACAGCCCAGGTTTCTGTTTGGCTCCATGTGACCACCAGGTGGCGCCCAAAGCTCAAGGACTGGCTGGGAGCCGGAGGTGGTGGCACCCAGGAAGGGAGGAGGGGATTCCCACTTCTTGTGTGGCCCCGGGCTCCAGGACCTGGTCTTGCTGCCCCCTCTCTTGGGACAGATATTGACACCTTTCATTTCTCAGATTCCCTGTATCAAAGGATCCAGGGCCCAGGTCCAGGAGAGGCATTGCCTCTTCAGTAAAGCCTTGGGCTTTTCTGGCCCTGGGCAGCTTTCTCCTTGGCTTTTTCCTCCCTGGGTTCAGTCTCCCTGAAGCCACAGGGCCGATCCCCTTGTGGGAACAGGTCATCTGCCCAAGAGGCCATGAACTAGACCCCCCAGGTTCTCTCTGCCTCTTTGTCTTTCTTGCTCCGGAGCCAGCTGCCTGTTTCTTTCCACCCCCAGCCACAAATCCAGGGGTCCCCAAACTATCTGGCCTTCTGCCTGATGCTGTAAATAAGCCTCTCTCATCTGAGCCAAAGGCTGTTTTCTTGCTGTTGCGAGAGAATTGAGTAGTTGAGACAGAGACCGATTAGCCTGCAAAGCCTCAAATATTTACTCTCTGGCCCTTTACAGAAGAGGTTGGCCAGCCCCTTTGTAAACCTTTCCCTGGACTGAAGCCATGCCACTCGCTCTCTGTGTCACCCTAGCCTGCTTTGTTTCCAGGGTCCCCGAGGTGCCCTCCCACAGAGCCTAGCCAGGAGCTCAGGCTCTGGAATCTGATGGTTTGGGTACAAATCCTGAGCCAAGGTATGACTACCAAGGGCCATAAGCTGTGTTCTCATGATGGTACCTGCCCTACAAGGCTCTCTGGAGGGTGACATGCAACAGAACTGGTACATTTTTCAGCACCCGGTGCAGGCACCGAGCAGTGGGGCATTTTGCAAGCATAGGCTCATTCCCATTTGAACGTCAGGCAGAGATCATTTTCCCCCTGGGAAGCTGATCTTGGAATGGGGCCGTGACCAGCCCAGAGTGACAGCTGAGTCTTCCAGCCTCGTCCAGAGGACATCCACCCTCTGCTCTCTGCTTGCTGGCTTTCTAACTGCCTGTCCTTCAGCCCCTGCTGGGGTGAGGTGTGGCGGCTTAGGCAGCTTCTTCAGCTGGGTTGGGGGCCTTTCCCCACTCCAAGATACAGTCCATTGTCATTTGCAGTAACTATGCCCTATAAAGCCACCGTGAGCACTGAACTAGCGAATAGTAAACCACCGCTTCCAGGGGAAACACAGGGCTCGGTTCCTGCGAGCCTCCGGTCACAAACCTTGTTTGATGGCTGTTTCTGTTTAATGACACCTTATTTAATATACGTTGTTGATTCATTAACAGTGAACTCATGGCCAACAGAGCTGCGACTCGCGCCTGCACAAGCTTGTCTACCCCACATATTTCCTCCACAAGGCATGCCCCAGCCTCCCTGCGCTCAGGAACACCACACCGCACCTCAGCACTGTGCTGGGGGCTGTTTTAAACAGTGAAATCACTGGGAAAAGTACACAAACGTGAAAAGCACGACACCAAATAGACATCAAGAGGGCACCTGAGTATGAAGCTGAAACAGGGAGAGCACCTCCTTGTTCAACCCACTGGGAAGGTGCAGGCAGGAGACTCAGAATTTTCTGCCGTTCTGCACATGCCTGCGAGTGACTGTAAAAGCATCTTAAGTAGTGACTTGAGGGCACAAATTTTCGGGAGTTGGCGAACTTGCAAACATAGACTCCATGAACAATGAAGATCAACCACATCAGCCTGCCCTGACGGGTCTCCAAGTCACCTCCAGAGCCCAGCCCCTCCTCCCTGCCACACAACTGCCTGTGGCTCCTCACAGGGCTCTCGGCCAGTCTCATCCCGTCTCCTTGCTGCTGCCCCTGCCCCCTCCCAGCCCGCTGACATGCAGCTGAGGGGTCCCTTGAAAACACAAATCTGCTCTTGGCTCCTCTGCTCAAACCCTCCGGTGGCTCTCATCTCAGAGAATGGGCCCTGCAATGTGATGTGATGGGCCCCTGGCTGGCATCTGCCGTCCCCTCCCTCCCTCTACACTCCATCTTTACAGCGCTCAGCATTCAGGTTATCTCCCCTCTTTATTCCTGCCCTTCCCCACTGGGCCTGGAGGATCGTGGGGGGCTTGGCTGTGTCCCCAGCCCCCTGGCCCTTGTGTGTGTCTGGAATTATTTGAATGAACGAATGGGGCTACCCAGGCGCAATCCCTCCCCTCTGGCCTTGAAGAACCGCCAACACTCACTCTTGAAGAACTTTCTCCGGCGTCCGGCTGGGCTGAGCTGGTCGTCCCCGCCACTGTCACAGGTGCAGGCCTCGCCGCCCTGCCCGTAGTACTTGGGCACCAGGTTGGACAGGGCTTTGCCGCTGGGCCGTGCTGGGCCCTTACACTTGTGCAGCTTCAGCGTCCCTGTGGCGTCCTCCACACACTGCCACTTCTGCAAGTCACAGCGAGGGCCTCCGGCTCCCAGCCAGCCATCCACTTTCCCCACCCGCCCCGAGACTTCCCCCACTCCCTGCCCTCTTGGGGACACGGGCTCACAGGGGCTGCGTTCCTGGAACTATTTACTCAATGACGGACAGACACATGTCAACTGCGCGAGAAGCACAGAAATGGTACCGAGAGGGACACTGCATGACTCTATGGCTGAGCATGAGCCAACACAGGGAGCACTGGGGTGGAGAGAATAGCTCACACCCGGGAAGGCCATTCTTAGAAGGTGAGGCAACAACACGTAGGGGGTGGCTGGACCAGCAGGACCAGGACTGCATCCCCCAGTGGGTGGACGTCTGGGACAGGGATCCTGGAGGCCCAGGGGCCGTGGACAGATGCTTCCCCAGCTGGTCTGGGCCCCAAACCCCACCCCCTGCACTCTTCTCCCTAGGGTTAAGCTGGGTGCCCTAAGAATCTGTTCTGAATATGCAGATACCTGCCCCAGGACTGCCTGACCTTTAATCTGGGGCACAGGATTTGACAATCTCAGGGGGACAAAGGCTCCCTGGCCTCACTGGCTATTCCTTGTAGCTCAGAACCGAAATCAGAACCACTTATGGGCTCTCGGCCTAAACCCAAGGCCAAACTCTCCCCAGAACTCCAGCTGCAGGAGGGCAGCACTTTCTGTGGATGGCATTCAAGGCTCTTGCCCCAGTGTCTGGAACAGTGCCTGAGGAGCAGGCCTGGGCCACGTTTGGAGGTGCAGCCATTGGGAGGGAAGAAAGGATGGAGGGACACCTGTCCCAAGCCCCAGGGCTGAGCCCCGCCGCCTCACCTGTCCCAGCTGCTCACATGCGGTCTGGTATTCAGCCCGCTGGCACAGGTCTTTCACGCGCTGGTACTTGGGCAGAAAGTTCTCCTGGGCATCTGCCTTGTCACTGTCCCTCTTGTGGAGCAGTTTGCTGTGGGGCAGAGAGCAGGACACAGGGCTGGCCTCTTGGCTCTGGAGGAGCGCATGGCCTGCCTATGGGGTGTGGTGCCATCAAGGAGCATGCAGGTCCAGCCTGGCCATGTCTTCTGATTAAGAGACTTAAGAAATGGGGATTTTTATAAGAAACCTCCCAAACTGTATGAGTTGGCAATAAACTAAAACACATTTAAGACGTGCAAGCAGCAGAAAACGTGGCCTCCAGATGCAAATTCTGAATCAACCACAGGAACAGCAAACAGGCTTTTGTGTCTAGGGGCTGTGGACACGTGCCCAGTCACTGGGGGAAGGTATGATAGAAACATTCTCCCTCCTCCCCTGATAATTTTTTTTTTTCTTTTTAAATCCTCACCCGAGGATATTTTTTCCATNCAGGGATCCTGGAGGCCCAGGGGCCGTGGACAGATGCTTCCCCAGCTGGTCTGGGCCCCAAACCCCACCCCCTGCACTCTTCTCCCTAGGGTTAAGCTGGGTGCCCTAAGAATCTGTTCTGAATATGCAGATACCTGCCCCAGGACTGCCTGACCTTTAATCTGGGGCACAGGATTTGACAATCTCAGGGGGACAAAGGCTCCCTGGCCTCACTGGCTATTCCTTGTAGCTCAGAACCGAAATCAGAACCACTTATGGGCTCTCGGCCTAAACCCAAGGCCAAACTCTCCCCAGAACTCCAGCTGCAGGAGGGCAGCACTTTCTGTGGATGGCATTCAAGGCTCTTGCCCCAGTGTCTGGAACAGTGCCTGAGGAGCAGGCCTGGGCCACGTTTGGAGGTGCAGCCATTGGGAGGGAAGAAAGGATGGAGGGACACCTGTCCCAAGCCCCAGGGCTGAGCCCCGCCGCCTCACCTGTCCCAGCTGCTCACATGCGGTCTGGTATTCAGCCCGCTGGCACAGGTCTTTCACGCGCTGGTACTTGGGCAGAAAGTTCTCCTGGGCATCTGCCTTGTCACTGTCCCTCTTGTGGAGCAGTTTGCTGTGGGGCAGAGAGCAGGACACAGGGCTGGCCTCTTGGCTCTGGAGGAGCGCATGGCCTGCCTATGGGGTGTGGTGCCATCAAGGAGCATGCAGGTCCAGCCTGGCCATGTCTTCTGATTAAGAGACTTAAGAAATGGGGATTTTTATAAGAAACCTCCCAAACTGTATGAGTTGGCAATAAACTAAAACACATTTAAGACGTGCAAGCAGCAGAAAACGTGGCCTCCAGATGCAAATTCTGAATCAACCACAGGAACAGCAAACAGGCTTTTGTGTCTAGGGGCTGTGGACACGTGCCCAGTCACTGGGGGAAGGTATGATAGAAACATTCTCCCTCCTCCCCTGATAATTTTTTTTTTTCTTTTTAAATCCTCACCCGAGGATATTTTTTCCATTGCTTTTCAGAGAGAGAGTGGAGGGTAGGGGGAGGGGGGAGAGAGAGAAACATCGATGTGAGAGAGACACATTGACTGGTCGCCTCCGGCTCGAGCACTGACCAGGGCCGGGGATTGAGCCTGCGACTGAGGTACATGCCCTTGGCTGGAATCAAACCTGGGACCTTCAGTCTGCGGGCTGACACTCTAACCACTGAGCCAAACCGGCCAGGGCTGATAGTGAGATCTTTAACACCATGGGTGCAGGGGGGACTGCCAAGAGCTTCCTGGGATGTGGCAGCTGTGGGGGTACCTGGGTGCTACTTGGCCCAAATGCCCTGGGTGGCTCCTCGGGACCCAGCACTCACCCTCTTTCTACTAGGAAGGAGTCCCGCCAGACCCTCATCTTCTTTTTCAAGTGAAACCTGGGGGAAAAAGCACACCCCCATCTTCTCATCAATGTGGGGGCTTCATATGTCCCCCTGAGCCCCTTCTCCCAGAAGCAGGGACAATGCCCAGAGCCAGCCTTGGTTCACAACCTGCATAGACTCCGGGGTCCCAGGGGAAGATGGGGTGAACTGTGTACGAAAGGCTTTGATGACCACACCCTCCGCCCCTGCAGGGCTGCACCTCGCAGACCTAGGCCAAAGCCAGTCACCTGTGTGTCTGTCTCCGTGCCTCCCAGGGGGTCCAACAACTCCCCCAGTGTGAGACCGCTTCCTCTTAGGCCAGCACCAGATGGAGCGGCTGCCCTGGCTTCAGGTGACTTACACTGTGTTTTGGGGGATTTCCTTCTTTGGCCCTTTATAGTTGGGTTTGTGTAATTTAAGTGTGCTTTTCATGCTGTGTCACTGTCGTTTCCATTTCCCAGACAGAGACTCAGGCCGAGAGGCAGCTTCCACCCTGTACCTCACTCCTGGGTATCCTGGCTCCCAACCCAGTGCCCCCGCTCCTCAAACCTGCCCAGTTTACACCCTTACAGCTTAGAAAGCCTCACAGTCTGAGGGAAGCTCAACATAGGTGGCCCCCTACAGGGTGGTCGCAGGTGGGGGGACAGTGTTCACCAGGGCTGGACCTTCTGAGCTGTGGAAGGTGCAAGCCCAGGTTGCAATAGTCAGCTCCCCGGGGCCATAAATCCAGTGGACAGTTCCACTACTGGCCACCAGATGTCGCTACTGCCACACCGGTGGCTATGTCCCCCTGCTTTCCTGTCTCCACAGGCTCAACTCTCCTTCCCAACCGCCTGTTTCGCTCACCATCCCTGTTCCCTTTCCGGCCTCCAGGGCACCTAAGAATATGCTCCCATCACGCCATCCGGCAGTAAGGGCACACAGCATGGTGACTGGGAGCGCAGCTTCTAGTCTGGAGTCTCAAGGCTAGAGTTGGAGCCAGATTTACCCAGAGACCTCGGACAAGTCACTTGACCTCTCTGGGACTCAATTTCCAAATTGGTAAAAGGGAATCATCACCATGTCTGCCTTGGTGGGTCACTGTGAAGATCAAAACGATAAAATCCCCTGCAAAGTACATGCAGCAACAGGAAGTGCTGCATGAGTGTTAATTCCTGTTGTTGTTTCAAGTTTTACACAAACTTAGGGTCTGCAACTGGTAGCTCTGCCATATTCTAGATGGGAAGCTGGAATCTTAGGGGGGGGCATTCTTCTCTCCCACGGTGGGGAAGTAGTTGGATGGGGAACTCTGGAACCCCAGCTCCTGACTCTTGGAGACACCCCTCCTCCACCAGACCCCCAGGGTTTGGCCACAAGTTCACGCAGGGGGTCGGGGGAGCCCAGTGCCCCTTCCCCCCCTCACCGATTCATCGGCCTCTCCGTGTCCAGCAGCTTCAGGATGGATTTCCCATCCATATCCGAGGGGATGTCCAGACCTGCGATGTCCAGGATGGTGGGGGCCAGGTCGATGTTGAGGACGATGTGGGGATTCCTTGGGAGGCAGGGAGACCAGACTTGGCCACCTGAGCGGGGCGGCCCAGCCTCCTCTCACTCAGGTGAGGGGAGGCTGGAGGGATGGAGGTTGCCAGGGACTGAGGCCCTGAAGGTAGAAAGCTGGGGTCGTGTCACTCCCTATATCTCAGCCCTCAGTGCTCCCCTCTGTGGCCTAATTCACCTGAACCCTGCCCCTCCCCCTTGCCTCTGTGCCCCTGACACACCACAGGGGCTGCGATCCACTGGCCACACCTGGCCTCTAGGTGGCTGTTTTCTCAGCCAGGAATGTCCTCTCTGCTCCCCAATATCCAAAAAGACACCCACCTTTAAAAGCTACCCCAAACCTGGCCCCTTTCCCTGGACTCTTCTCTGAACCTCTAAGGTCGACACCAGCCCCATTGCTGTCCCTGACAGGCCAGGCTCAGTCTGGCCTCAGGGCCTTTGCTCTTGCCAGAATGTTCTTCCTCCAGATACCAGCATAGCACTTTCTCTCCCTTTAGTTCCAGAAGGACCTAAATGACAGCTCTATGTGGCCCTGTGAGCCCCACCCTCTGGTGTTCACACCTTTCTGTGACCCTTTCCTCTGGAGGGTGGGCCAAACCAACAGAATACAGCCAAGGTGGAGGGATGTCACTCCATGGTTATGTGACATATGACTCTGTCCTGCCAGCTGCTCTACATCTCTTATTGAAGGAGCAAGCTGCTATAATCCTGCCCCAGCAAGGACACTTGGCGAAGAGTCTGGGGGGCAGGCTGTGAGTTTTTGTCCTCTGCTTGCACTTGCACAGCCCACGAGTGGGGAAGTGGGACATATGATGAGCCAAGACAGGCCAGTGACAGTCATCCTCAGGCTTCTGTTCAAACCACTGTTCGGTTTTATAAGCCAGATGGCTGAAAGTCACGGTGACTCTGCCACCACAAGAGAAAAGCCTGTCTGAGAATGAAGCCAATTCAGAGAGAGCAGGGCTGACAGATGGAAAATGAGAGCTTCCTGATCTGTGTGACTGCTGGATCCAGCCATGCCTGAAGCCAGAGCTAGCCTTGGACTTTCTGGTTACTTCAGTGACTGCATTCATTTCATCTTAGTCTTACCCAGTTTGATGGTCATTTCTGCTTGCCACCAAAGGAGTCCTGGCTGACAGATATTCTGGGTGTCTTCAGCCCCAAATATGACATTAGTCCACTCTTTGCTTTGTCCACATGGGGTGTGGTTTTGGGTCCTGTGAGCCAGATCACAGACTCTGAGGCTGACCAAACCCATAATGCCAGTGCTTACAGAGCCATAGTGGGTCACTCCTATTCACAGGGGTGGCTCAAGGTGTCTGAGAGGCAGTATGGAGTGGCTGGCAGGAGCAGAGACTCCTGGCTTCAAATCCCAGCTCCTTCCCTTACAAGTGACCTCAGGCAACTTAACCTCTCTGGGCCTCAGTTTCCTTAGGTATAAAAGGGTAATAATAGCATCTACTCCTCAGGGTGGTTGTTATGCTTAAATGGATACATGGATGTGAAATGCTTAGACCTGGGCCCGAGGAATAAGTGCTACATAAACACAGCTATTAGTACAGCTCTGAGACCAAAGATGGGGAGTGATTTGATGAGGTTGGCAGAGGAAGAGGGATGAGGCTGGGTCTGCCTCTGGAAACTGTCACTGGGTGTGCAAGACGGTGGGATCCTCAGTCCCTGTAGCCAGCCTCACCAGTGCCTGTGGGTGTCCTGTCTGGGCTCTGGGCTCAGAGGTAAGTCAGACCAAATAAGCGACTTAATAGTGACTCATCTGCATTTCAAAAAACCAAGTTGGTGTCCATAACATCCCAGTGGATCTGAGGAAGCTGCTATGATTACCAGCTTCCTACCTCTCCCTGCCCCAGACATGGCATTTTCTGCTGCCAGAACGTGTCATCTCAAAGGTTAACCCACGGAGAAGGCTGGCTGAGGGCCACATGGTCCTCGAGGAAGAATGGCAGCCGAGCCAGTTTACCTTTGAGCTGCAGCCTGAGCTGGCTCAGCCGATCATACAATGCCCCCATCCTTCACCCAGATGGCGGGATTCCTCCCGACAACCACCGGACCCCCGGGGCCGCCCAGCCAGACAGAAATCAAGGTGTATTCCCACCTGCTGGTGGCACACACAGGCCAGCCCCCCGATTCCCTGGCACACTGCCCACCACAAACACTCTGTTTTCACAGGTGCTAATGGTTCCTGGCCTCTCCTTCCCAACAGGGCATATAAAATGCGTCAAAATCCACCCTAAGTGACACAATCACTGTTTCACTTGGCACTGAGGTTCACCTGCCAGGACGTGAGCCAGCCCAGGGAGTGGCCTGGGGCTGCACGGCTGAACTGCCTACTTGTCCGTCTGGGTGCCAGCGGAGCCCAGAGGCCTCCCTGGGACTTTGGAGCAGTGGGAGTTGGGGGGGCACTCACAGCGAGCCAGCCTCCACATTGGGGCCCCGCACATAGAATGGGACCCTGATGTCGAACTCGTACGGCATGGACTTCCCCTTCACCAGGCCGAACTGGCCGATGTGGTAGCCGTGGTCAGCAGTGTAGACGATGTAGGTGTTGTCCAGCTCGCCCGTCTCCACCAGCATGTTGTAAATCTGCGACACAGGTGAGCAGGTGAGGGGGCCCTGCCCGCTCTCCCCAAGGCTGATGGGATCTTAGGCCTCAGGCCCTCCCTCCCCTGCTCAGCTGTCAGTTCTCAGCAGGGGGCCCTGGGGCTGTCTCATTTATAACGCAGCTTCCCCGCCCTTGTCACTTTCTGTCCCCTTACTTTTCCTCGCAGTGCTCCTCACTATCTCTTCTCCCTGCATTAGAATGTAAGCTCCATCAGAGCAGGGACTTTCGTTAGTGAGTGAATGAATGAGGCCGGCCTGAGCAGGAGTCTGTGATCCACCACGGTGCTGTCCAACAGGACTTTCTGCAACACCGGCAATGCTAATTTCTGTCCTGTCCAACAGGGTGGCCACCAGCCACAGGTGGCTACTGGGCACCTGAAATGTGACTAAGTGTGACTGAGGAACTGAATTTTAAATTGTACTGTACTTATTAAATTAAAAGAGCTGTGGATAAATAAAGTATTCAGCAGTAAATAGGAATGAAGTTTTGAGAGTGCCGCCACGTGGATGAACCCTGAAACATCACACTAAGTGAAAGAAGCCAGTGGCAGAGCACACGTGCGACCCCATTCACAGGAAATGTCCAGAGGCGGCAAATCCACAGACACAGAGCAGACTGCTGGCTGCCTCAGGCTGGCGGGCGAGGGAGCAGCGGCTAAGGGCCGCGGGTTTCTTTTTGGGGTAATGAAAGTGTCCTGAAGTTGACTGTGCTGCTAATATATTAAAACCACTGACTGTACACTTTAACTGGGTGGACTGTAGGGTATGTGAATTATATCTCAATAAAGCTGTTAAGAAAACATAAATAGCCCCACGTGGCTACCACATTGAACAGAACAGAGCTAGAGTGTGAAGTCTCGCGAAGGCAGAGGCGGTCGGGATTGCTCAAAGCCGTCCTCCCCAGGCTGGAGCAGTGCCTTTCCTTCTGCCTGTCCCCATTCGTCCCCAGCTGATGACACTCGGAAGGGTAAGGGCAGGGAGGCGCCAGCAGGAAGGGGTGCGTGGGGGGGCGGCCTACCGTCTCCATGGAGTCGTCCACGGACATGAGGGTCTGCAGGCGCTTCCGCTGGAGCATGTTGGTGAATTCCATGTGGATGGGCTTCATGGGCCCCGTGTAGCGCATGATCCAGTGCTTGTCGGGGTTGGGTGCGTAGTTGTAGCTCGGCGTGCTGGACGGCAAACACGCGCGGGGGTCAGGCTGGGGGTGCTGGGGCCCACCTGGGCCATGAATGAGCACCCGCCCTGCGCCCCGTGTGCAGCCCAGTGTGCAACACCCCCATCGGGGGGAAAGTGGACGCTGGTGTCAGGGCCTCTGCTAAGCATTAGGCCAACATTTCTCCCGCGTGCAGTGGCCACATGGGAAGACCTCAGGAAGGACAGCGTTAAATAACCTGGAGCCACAAACTCAGAAAGCAACCCCACCCCCCCTCCAATTCCGGCTCTGTCAGCACACCCAGACATCAAGGCCAAAGTCTCGGCCTGGTGTCAATCTTCCTTTAACACGTGTCTGGAATTCGCTCATTTCCCTTTTGAAAGGAGAGAGGCTCAGTTCAAGCCTCTGGCAGGCACAGTGCCCAATTCTAATCTATCAGTACTGCATTTATTTTTCAGTTACCTGGGTCGATGGCAAGTGAATGCTATCATGGTCAAGGCGCAACTACCAAATTTCCTTTTGCAATAGATTTTGGTTCAAAAAAGGGAAACTGATGAAAAAATTAGGTAAATAATAGCTATGAATGTATAGCCAATGCTGTGAGGATGGTGCCTGAATGTATACATTTGGGACATGCCATGTTTTGTGACTTGATGTCACCATTTACAAAAGAGGAGACGGAGGGTCAGAGATGTCTGGGGTCCTGCCAGTGGACTGAGTGGGTGGCAAAGCCACCGAACCCTGAGACCCGCTGAAGGGCCAGCTGTGAGGACTCATGATAAACGAACAAATAAATGATAACCGTTGACTCCAGCTGAGAGCTCACCAGGTGCTGGGAACAGCCTGAAGGGTTTGCCTAATATCATCTCATTTAATATTCATTACGGTCCTAGAAGTGAGGCTAATTTTATATTCCTTGTGTGAGAAATGAGGAGACTGAGGCCCAGCAAGGGGACTAACTGGCCAAGGGCAGAGCAGGGGTCTGAACTCCAGCAGCAGGGAAGGTGGGCCAATGCCCTATTGTCAGAAACCCTTCCCGACCCGCGGGCCTGACTATGGGCCTCTCACATCCCTAGTGTTTGAGCAAAACTTTGGCCAAGAAATTCCTGCTGGGGGATTAAGCAGCTCAGACGCCCGGGTTAATTCAGTCCGTGGCCTCGGAAGTTTGCAGATGAGTCCAGTAACATATTACTCTGCCTCAGACCAAGGGGCCCTCCTGTCACCCCAGGATCTGAGCTACTGAAAGCCCCACCAACACATGGGGTATTCTGGGTAGGGGACACCCCTGATAGAAGTGCTCTAAAACTTCACAAACAGTGCGCCTTGAACTGACTATACTCGAAGTTCTCCCAGATCATACTCCTTTCCCAGGCAAAGCTGCACATAAAGGCTGAGTTTCCAGTGCCCGAAGACAAAAGGCTTTTCAAAATGGCAATTTAGGGGCAAAGGGCTGCGGGG